TAATAATTGAAAAATTAATAAAAGCAAGAAATAAAACTTTTAAATTTAAATTAAATATAATTAGATAACTATAGTCTAAATTTTAGACTTATTAAATGTGTAAATCAATTGAAATACCTGTGACTCGAAATCATCCTTCCTATCCCTGAGCGCTACCATCAACTGGTCGGCCAACCTATCGGTCTCCTCCTTCGCCATCACCTCATTGTCGGCCTTCTGTTGCCTCTCCCTGTCCTCCAACTCATCCATTAATCTCGTGATCTGTTGCCGACAGTCGCCTATCTGTGCCTCACAGGCACTCAACTTCTGCTTCACAGTCACCACTTCCTCCTCATAGGTCTGCGCCTTCATCACCAGCTCATCCAACTCGAGCTCCAGCGACGGCCCATCGAACTGGTCGACCAGCACCTCCTGTTCCATCCAATGCTGATGAAGACAATCCATTTCCTCTTTGTAGCCATTGATGAGCAGCTCGTTGTCCAACAGCTTCTTCTCGATGGAACCGATCTCTCGCTCGACGGCTGACATCTCCTATCAAATAGCAATTCAAACGCAGAAATGAGTTTCAAAATCACACCACGAGTTGCAGAGACTGTTATCTCTTTATATCAAAGCCAATAACTTTTGTATGTTGTTTACGATACATACTAATCCCTGTCTCTATTTATGAGGCACTTGTAGTCTATTATAATTATTATGACATTTACTGATTTAAATTCACAGTTCAATTTTGTTATCATCGCTAACACTCTGTATCCCTTCCCTCCCCTTCTATCACTCTCCCACTCATTTCCTTTACATATTACAGTATACTCTATAATAATTATAGTGTACTTTATCTATAATAAACAATATCGAGAGAGAGAGAGAGAGAGAGAGAGAGAGAGTCCGAGAATACGGTACACTCAGAAATAGATAGCGAAAATTGAAAAACAATTGTAAAATCTATTTACCCCAAAAAAGTCTAGAGTCTTAACACTGTTTGAATTGGTATTATATGAATATAAATCAAGTCAATACAAAGTGAATCAAATCAGTACACTATTATTACCCCGTATGTTAACGATAATCTATAATCTGCTATCACTTTACACGTAAATGATAGCTAAAAGTATTTACGACAGAATTATGTACAATATTAATATATCATATATGAAATCAAATGCTTTTTTGATTACAACACAAAACTAATTGCTTACGAAAAATAAGTTCAAATTATATATTAATACGGTATTTCAATAATAAAATTGTTGGCAAACACTATAGCATTGTAACACCAAACCTTAAATAACTAATAAATCAAACAATGATAACAAGTGCGAAAAATTTGTTATACAAACAATAAACGCAATCAAATATGCATTAAAATAATAATACAACTAATCAGTGAACAAAATTTCAGTAATAGCTGTTAACTAAATTATTCAACTCATCATTAAACGCAAGTAAATAAATTCCTGACCATTAGTTTAATCCCTCAATAAATAACTAATCGGTGTATTAATGGTAGAGAGAGAGAGAGAGAGAGAGAGAGAGAGAGCTAAACTAATAGAAACTAATCTCTTTATAAACCCCATTCCAAGTGACACGAGTGGACAGACCTTTTCCTGGGCTCTCATCGTCTCCTTTTGCATGTCGACCAGTCTTATGGCATCCCTGTGCAGAAGCAGCTCTTTTTGACTACCAGTTCCCGTACCACCATTTCCACCCACACCTCCAGTCTTCTGTTTAGTCTGCGTCTGTGGTGAGGGCTCTATGGAACGGCGCTTATTGTTACTACCGGTGCCGGAGTGGACAGGGGATGAGGCAGTTGGTGGGGGCTGTTGTCGATCGTCCGACGAAGACGAGTAGTCGTACTCTAACCCGTGACTAGTGTTGGCGGTGGTGGTGGCTGTGCTACCGGTGCCGGTGTTCGTGATCAACGCCGACTTATTGATAGCCTCGCTGTACGGGGGCGGGTGTCTGGGCCTATGGGTGCCCTTCGACTTGGGGCTCGGCATAGAGTCGCCGTTGTTATTGTTAATACTGTTATTAATATTATTGTTGTTTTTAATCAACTTTTGGTGATTTGTTTGCTGCGTTTCGGTCAACATATCGTTGTTTGTAATGTTATTATTGTTGTTATGATTGATATTTGTATTCATATTCATGTTATTCATATGAATGACATTTGTGTTCAGATTATGATTACTATTACTATTAGTAGTGTTTAGGTTATGACTAGAGATTGAGTTAGTGTTTGTCGTGTTATTAATGGTTGGCGTCGAGTGTTGCTGTTGTTTCACAGGACTGGTAGTCGACTGATTGTGTGTCAGTGCCGGTGCGCTAATATGCGCAATGGGCTGGTGGGCGATGGGAGTGGTGGTGCTGTTAATGTTGCCATTCTTGGCTATCGGTGCCGCTTGAGATGACACCTGTTTAGCCATTGATGGCGATGTCGAAGATGTCTTATCTATTAATTAGTAAATAATTTTTAGTTTTAATAAAAATAATCAAAAATCAAAAGGTTTTCTCAAATAAAAACACACATTCAGTAAATAACAAGAAAAGTCTATTTTAACTGCAATTAAAGTGTAATTCAATTCAATTACGGTACGATAAAACATAAAACAAAAATAACTATCGATTCCTAACTACTAACTAAATCTAATTAAACCTCAAAAACACAAAAAAAAATTCAATAATTACCAGAATTTGGTCGAAAATTCCCGGACTTTCTATTAACGGAATTATTAAACAAATCTCTTCTGTTAGGACTACCGGCGCCACTGCCCACCAGTGCCGAGCCAGATGTATTCACACTCGTATGCATGACCTGCGACACTGAGCCGGGTACTTGCGGCGGACTAGTAGCCAAGTTTTGGTGCACTTTGGCGGCGATACCTTCGCTGCGCTTCATCACAAACTGTACGTCCTGTGCGTATTCGCCCCAATGGGTCAGTACGAGCAACGGGTGCTCATTAGGGGCCAGTAGTCTCTCGGACTGGTTCCTGAACTTCTCAATCAGTATGAAACGACCCGTTTGTCCGGTGGCGTGGGCTAAGGCGAACACCACCTCCTGGCACGTGGTCTGGGCTGACACACCGCACACCACCCGCTGTATGCCATCGCACCACACCTTTAGCTCCATTTTCCCGGTACTGTCACCGACTGTAACGCCTGTCCTCTTCACGTATACCCGGGTGCTATGGTGGGGACAGCCCTGACATCCGATAGACTCGTAATTATATTAATTTATATTAAGTGTTGATTTGTTTGAAAGTTTTGCTCAGTTTTTGCAGAGATTTCTATTAATATTATTCAAGTCTTGAGATTTAAAAGTTGTTTCTTATGGCTATGTCTTGACATCGGTTTTCAGATCTAAAATCATATTCAAATAAATATGAGTTTTACAACACATTTTAAATGAGTAATAAATTAATTACACATTCATTACAGTAATTATTATCTCAATAATATTTCCATTACAATAATTAATGTTCAAAATTAATTAAAAGTTATGGTTTAGTAATAAGCTGTCATTTACTCAATACACACATTATTAACAGTGTATTAAAACTTGAAATATTAAATAAAATGTATCATTAATTAAAAAACATACTACACTAACCAAACTAAATACACATCTTATAAACGGTATAATTAAATAAAAACTTTTACAACTAATAAATACATTATAACAACACAACTATTTACACATTATTACCGTAGTATTACAAGTGCTATAATACCGTATAAAACAGTGTATCATAAATAGTATTAAACATATAAAAGGCATTAAAAATATTACTTTTTATGAACAATAATACAATAAAATGCTAATTAAATGCCATATATTTATAAAAACCCTTTTTGTGCGATTAAATAGTGAACACCCAATACAGTGAAACTCAATACAAAATACTATTAATATGTTATGTAATCCACACACAAATGAGTCATTATATGCGAGAAAAAACTATTTTACGATATGTTTTATAAGGCATTTAAATATATTAATAAAAAATAGCAATAAAAATGTTTATAAAGTTTTATTACATTTAATGTAATATTTTTAGTCAAATTAAATATATTTACGGTTATATTCAGACAAAACACAGATTTTATACACTTTTTGAGTAAAAATCATTTATAACCGTAATATACTTGTCTATAGTTAACATCAATCTATGCATATATTAATGGTATTTAACTAAAAGTATAATTAAAAGTCAATTAAAAAATATTAACCAAAAAATCAATAATAAATACAAACCTTTTGTTAGACACCAAAAAAATAGTGTCCAAAATTGTGGTCAAAACTGTTTTTAACGCATATCTAATACACTACACATTGAAATGACAGTTAAATACATAATTGAAGCGAAAAATTAAATATATTTTTTAATTTAAAAAACTTTGTAAACCATAAAACATTGTGTAATGTATGAGACAATCAAATGAATGCATAATGTGTTGTGAAATCCAAATGTGTTTCATATTTGTGTTAAACAAATGTCAGACAAAACAACACATGCAGCCATTGAGTGAACCCATGCACACCAGTGGCATACCAGTGCCCGTTCGCATACCTGTGCCCGCCATACACGCATCATGCATATAGTTACCCAACCCATGTGTAGTAAGTATAGGTCACCACACCCTCCCCCTCTTAATCATGTGTATGATGTATGTCTATGGCAGCAATGTATGTGTATATTGAATGGTAAGCATACCTGTGCTCTCATTCATTACAAATCAATGGCATTTATGTGAAAAAACTCATTGAACCGTATTTTGGAAAATGTTTGTTATTTTTGCACGTTATTTATGAATGGAATCAAAAAGTGGGATTTTTAAATTATTTATTTAAAAGTTCTTGTAATTGTAATTTTATAAGTTATAATTTTAATTAATGTTTAATATATTACAGGTAAATATTATTTAATACAACTAAAGCTTAAATTTTTAATACTTAATTATTCAGGATAAAATATTATCTAACAAAATATTTAATCTAACTTATTTTATAATTTTTGTACTAATTATTAATTAACAACTAAAAACAAAATTTATTTATTTAAGCTTTAAGTTAAATAGATTTATAATATATAATTATGAATATTTTAATTATCAGTGTAATTAATATTAATATAAATATTTTTTCATGCAACCTAAAACAATTTAACATTTCCAAAATGTATTATTTATTATTACACTTGACTTAGTATCTTAGATCTTAAAATTTAGTATCTATTAATCAAATTTAACTCCGGTACAAATCAAAAAGTTTTAATGGGGTACATTTAGCAGCAATTATTTTAGTCAGAGGTTTAACCATATATTTTGTAAGAGCTTGAATCTTATGGTTTGAAGTTTAGTTAATTTTGACAATGAATTCAATGACACATTTGTTAACCCTGTTATCGATAGACTTGGAAATTGAAGATTAGGTAAATCAGGTATATTATATAAACATGTTTTTAATGCTTTCTCATATACTGTATATGATATTATTCAACTTTTATCTTAATTATACAAAGTATTGTACAAAAATTTACAAATATTTCTATTAAATTATATTTATAAAACAAACTTTAGAGTTTAAACAAGTTTTAACAAAAATAATTCCAAACTCAACAATACAGAGTATTTATGAACTAATTTAACATAAATAGACTATTGATTAATGAGAAACATAATTAAAATGAAGAATAACATCAATATAATGAATACAAAATATTACAAAACACAATAATATTACAAAAACAACACTTTTATAAAATATAAATCTGTTAAGAAAACTTTAAAGATCAAAATTTTAAGATTCATCAAAAACAAAAAACACAAATGACACAGTACAGTAACTAATTTAACAAATTATACACAAATAGACTAATACTGTAGTTGAGAAAATAAAAATAATGAAAACAATAGATAAAATAAAACATAAAAAATTTAAATACCGTATAACAGTCCACTATAACACTAACAATAGAAAAATACACAAAACATATACAGTATTAGTTCAATTATAATAAATTGTCACTCAAACCTAACCCAAACAGACCTAATCTTAAGCAAGTTTTCAAACAATTGCTTACAAACTGATTCATTAACCGATTGCTTGACCAGTCGTCCAATGGTTTCAAGTTTTCTCAATCCTAGCAACGATTGTATCGACACATCCGTTATCTCTATGTTTGATAGCCATAGGGATTGAAGTTTCGGTGAATTATCGCAAATATCGCTTAAGAAACCTTCACTGAAAACATACTGATCGCCAAAATCTAGTGCCAAATGCGTTAACCGTTTGCAGGCGACCAGCGATTCATTGAATGCGACAAACCCTCTGTAGTCATGAATATTAAGCTCCAGACGTCTTAATCCAGTAAAAGACGAGTTCATTATTTTGATGACATTATCATAAAAACACGGATTGTGGTGAATGCACACCACAGACAAGTACAGTCTCTTGAGATCACCACAATTGGTACCAATTTGTGTCAAACACTTACAGATAACCTCCTCGACACCACTGACACCAGTGATACTAATGTCTAAATCACGCAATGAATGCATTCGTGATATATAGGACAGCACTCCAATAGCCTGTCCACTGACACAGACACTGAAGTCCACGTGAAATGAGCGCAAACTATGTCCATAATTAGCCACAAATGTGTGGAAAGCATTCAAATTGAGTTCATTTGACAGTATTTTCAGCCGAAAAGCTGTCAATCGCTTAAAGTTTATGCAATTTTGGTGACCAAAGAGTCGCGAAAACAATGTCTCGTTATTATCATCGAGTGGTTCGCTGTAATCAACGGCTAGTTTGCGGACATTTCCGCACATTTCAATCAATGGCTCAAAATATGCATTCAATTCGTGATTAGTTAGCATTGAAATGTCAATTGAGAGCAACTTTTTGGCTACTTTTGGCAAAAAGGTGTCGAAATTGTAGTCATAATTATTAGTGAAGTATTGAATGGACAGATGATTCAAATGATGGCAATATTTGGTCACTATTTGTAGCATTTCTTTGTCAAAGATGTCGAAGTCCTTGAGAGATACGGTCTTCACGTGTCGACACTTTTTCACAATTGTCTCAAAAGTAGACAATTTGTTGGGAAGTCTCACCAAATAGTTGTAAAAGTTTCCCAAATAATGAAATTTAGGAATACTTGTGAACACCACTCGTTGCCACTGTTTGGACACACATTGACATCGGAATCGCTCCTCAAATGATAGGAAAGACAGTAAGTGTTGACACAAATCGTCACCAAATCTGTCCAAAGAGTCTTTACTATAGATTTGAGACATTTTTACCACTCATTCAATGAAACGCTGATTACTATTGAATTGTGTAAATCGTGTGGTCAGTAATGTAGGACTCGTTTATTACTTGCATTAATACAATGCTATTTCGCAACACATAAGACATTGAGTTGTATGTGACAAGTGAATTAACATTGAGTGCTAGATAACTTATGATAGTACTGCTAACCCAAATGGGTTACCCAATAACCAAATGACATTAAACAATGATTCAATTGCTGACCAATTATTAGTTAGTATGGCATTCATTGTAATGCCATCTCATATACTGAACACAACTTTATTTTATTACCGGTAATTCATTTTTATACCGTAAAAAATAATTATTTTATTATATTAATTGTAATTGAATAGTTTATTAAGAATTAAGTTCATTAAGAAATCTTTATGGATTATTACATATTTATAACATTAATCATTTTAATAAAGTAAGAATACAGTTAGTAATTAATTTCTAAATAATAATCAAACAATTTAGTAATCTTTATATAAATATTAAATTTACTGTTATATACAGTATATACCGGTAATTGTTTAATAGGGTTCACCACGAAATATATTAATCGTCTAAATCTGAGGGTTTAATACTTCTATGAAGCAAATGAATGGTTTTAATTTTGGGACAATTCTCCATAATTGTCGTATTAATTGATCTCTGGATGTCTTCATTGGCAATAAGTCTTATGGTTTGAAGTTTAGTTAGTTTTGACAATGAATTCAATGACACATCCGTTATCTCTGTCGCCGAAAGCCATAGGAATTGAAGTTTCGGTGAATTCTTGCAAATACTGGTTAAGAAGTCTTCAGTAATGAGACAATCACTCCAAATATCAATCTTTAAATGTGTTAAGTGTTTGCATTCATTGAGTGTTTCATTGAGTTTTACAGCATTTCCTACAAATGTTTGACTTCTAATACTTAATCGCTTTAATTGAGTGAAGTATGTATTAATCGTTTTGCAAATATCGCCATAAATTGATTGGTCGTCGAAAGTGGTCTCCACTTGAATCCCGATCTGAAATCTCTTGAGTTTACGACAATTAACACCGATTTGTGTGAAACCAGTGATGAGGTGTTGAGCGGAGACAACGGGTGAGTCGATAGTGATCTCCAGATCTATTAATTCAGTCATTTGTGACACCATTTGCAACAAACATGCGGTCTGTTCGTCACAATCGTCGCCATCATCGCTGCCATCCTCTGAGTCCTCATTTGGGTCGTCAGTGAACTCAAAGCACACGCGAAATGAGCGTATATTTGGCCCATAATTGGCCACAAATGTGCAGAAATCGGCCAAATCTTGTGCACCGAAACCGTCGGACGAAAACTTGAGACCAAACTCTTGAAGCGATTTCCAGTGAATTGTATTTCTCTCCCAAAATAGTTGCGAAAACAATGAGTCGTCGTTCAGATGGGAATCGATTGAAAATCGGTGTAAATTTGAGCACAATTTGAGTTTATGACCGAAATATAGCACCAAATCTGACATCTCTATGAAGTCATCATTAAACACACGAATCGTAATTGCATTCAATTTATTGGCATTTACTTCAAAAAACGAGTCAAAGTCTAGTCCTTTAACACTGGACTCGCAATCAATGCAGAGTTCACTCAAATGATGGCAATATTTGCCAATTATTTCCATCTTTTCTTTTGAAATGTTATCAAAATCTCTGAATTGAATGCTTTTAATGTTTGCGCACTTTTTAACAATTGTCTCAAATGTCGATAAATTATTATTTTTCTCAAAGTATTGTGAATATTGTCCGAAAAGTTTGAGTGTATTATGCGTTGAGTGTATGACTCGTTGCCATTGAGTGGACACACATTGACATCGGAATCGGTCCTCAAATGATAGGAAAGACAGTAAGTGTTGACACAAATCGTCACCAAATCTGTCCAAAGAGTCTGAAGCATACATTTGAGACATTGTTTTCACATTATTATGAGAAACACAACTCAATTGAAAACAATTACTTCATAATTACGATGAAAATGACAACTAATTTGTGAGACAATGAGAGGTTTGTGTGGAAATGGATGTCAATTGTTGTGACGTATGAGTGGACAGTATATGAGAGCCAATGACTAGTGTTGGCGACAATTAGTGACTGAACTGTGAAACGAATCTCTAGTCAAGTGAGCAGTGAATGCAATG